GTGAGAATTGCAACGCACTGAATACTGGTATGTACCTTTCTGGATGCGTGCGGAGAACAGGAGTTAAACGTAGAGTTTAACGTCCAAAAACCACCATAAGAGTATGAGAGACTCCATAGTGGAATAAAGTTTAACGTCCCAAAACCACCATAAGAGTATGAGAGACTTCGTAGTGGAATACTCCAGAAATTTGGAGTGCCTGGGGTTCCTTAACGTGCGCCTAAATCTGAGCACACGGGCCTACAGCATTTTCACCTCCATCGAAAATGTAGCCGCCGCAGCCCGGGTTTGATCCCGCAACCTGCGAGTCAGCAGCTGAATGTTTTAGCCCCTAGACCACCACGGTGGGAAGGAGCGTTTCCTTGGAAATATACTGACTTGTGAAGGTGATAATGCAGTGCGGTATAATATGTATTTAAATTGAGCAGGGAGTCACTTGTAAAATAAGAGGCTGGAATGATCGATATGCGTTTTTTTGCTTGCTTTTCGTTTTTACATAATCATTTATAGTGTTCTTGTCTTAATACCTTGAAATGTATTCTATGTACCTCTAGGTTATTTCAGATAAATAAAAAGGAATGAATAACACTGAAGTAGACAAAATAATCCACACTCTCCACCTGAAAACTGCTTGCCTTATAATAATCCACGTGACACTGGCGTCGCGTCTATGTCAAAGTTTTACCCTAAGTAAAGTTAAAATGGGCTGACAGATATTTGCAGCTGGTGGAAAATGAACAAGAGGCCTCCAGAAAGGCTGTACTTTTTATCACTTGCGATGTTTGTACACTCTGGGCTCAGTCACCTAAACGTTTGGCCCATTTTCGCTCTAAATTCAGCCGCATACGCCTCATTTTCCGTAATATATATGTTTAAAATCTGTAATGTGGTTACAGAATTAAATTGTATTTTACCTATATACATTTGTTTGACTACGCCATATAAGCCTGGCTTTAGTGAAGCCTAAAGTGAAAAGTATTGCACAAAGAACAATTGCAAGAATCCACTTCCTAAAATGGTACGTCCTATGGGCAAGCTATACATGGCAGAGCACATATGGTCAAACTAGTGTACACGTGCGCCAGGTAACTAGCCTAGCATAGCCTCCCCCCTCCGTGCACTTTTTTTTCTTTTTGTTACATACCCGCCTGTTATGTCAGCTCTACTCGATTCACAAATTTGATTTAAAATGTTGCCCGTTTCTGATAATTTGCCGGATGAGTTCTCACAGAGTCATGGAGGAATGATACAGTGTTTTTCATCACTATAGCAAATCCTGGATGAAACATGAAAGTGTAGTACAATTAAATGCGTTCTAGTTCTTTCACAAAAATAAATCATAAAAGTGACCAGATGATTATATATGTACGCACGTCAAATATTGTTACTTCAGCGAGCACTAATCTTTTTTTCTTTCTAGGATGTGACAGTCGCGTAGATCAATGCGTTTATCCTGATGGTGAGTAGTTTTTGACATTATGGACAGACGTCGTTCCCGTAACACTTTTTAAACTGTAATAACAGGCTCTAATTTTGCAACAAAACACTTGCGCTGCGCACTTACTTTGCAAAGTATAGGTTATAGGTTGCTAGTAAAAACTCATCGGTAAGTTTGCTTTCATGCTTCTCGTTTCCATTGTCCTAAACGACTAGCAGTGCGTAAGTGAAGACCACCAACGTTGTTACGTGAAAAACGAGACGTCATTCAACAAGGTTATAGACACCATATATTTGATGCAATGCTTGCAGCGCGGACCACATGAGCTCTAACCGTGAGCGCTGAGAGCCCGTCGTGCTCCTCGTCGGGCACGCACGCACATTTCCAAACAATTGGCTATATGCATGTAGCAATATCAGAGTGTTAATCGTCTGAGGGGTGCCATGAAATCAGAGGCCTACATGTGTCTCCCAGACTCGCTCGCCATTTTGCTTTTATTGTGGTGTCTGTCATTTCCAGTGGCGGATTCCACACCGGAAAAATAAATGTAGCGCTCACTCATAACGGATAAGGGTTGGCATAGCTATAACCTTGCCACTGCTAAAACAACTCACAACGGTGCACAATTCGCGGCAATCATTTTTTGTTACTTTGTACTGGAACCTCTAAAAGCTGACCATCTGCAATTCACCCGTACACGCAAAAATAAGGAGAAGCTCGAAAACAACCTTTGATACTTTTCCCATTGATTCCAGTATAGGCAGAAAGCAATTTAACTGTTCCTTTTTTAACTCTGCATTGCACAGTAATCTTGTTTTACGTTTGACGATGTGCGGTTGTGCGAATTCACCGCTCCACTCGGTTAAATCTGGCGGACTTGTTACTTTATGTAGAGAACACCTGCGTCAAGGCATGTACTCACTCCGAGTCACGAGGATGACATCGACATCATCTGGGACAGTTGACCTAGCCGTAATATACAATGACCACCAGCAGGGGCCACTGAAAAATGGACAAGAACCGTGGTGACGTGTACGTCGGGTACCTTTATGGTCACTGTGTCATCCCTTCAAACCTGAGACGTTTTTACGACAGCGTCCTGGCTACATTCACGAATGTCGTTTGAAGTACAATCGCTGGTTCACTTGAGAAAGCACAGCTGCCATTGAGTACAATACCGAGGACCTGCGTGAAACCCGAAATATAATAAGGAAGTAGCTGCAAGAGCTTTCACATTTTGCGCGTACAGGCTGCGTGCCAGAAAAATCAGCAGTCACGGAATGTGGCTCAACCAGCATTACCGAGAACAATTAGCTATGCGGCTGCAATCTACCGTCATGTTGCCCCCTGCGACAACGTCTACATGCCGCAAAAAAAGCAGTTCTACCACTAGAAAACACCCCCGCCACCATCACCACCATCTCACCACCCACTGGTCGCTCAATGCTAAGCTGGTAGAAACACTGACGTTGGGTATGGCCCCAACCAATGGCACCTCTGCTACCATTTCGGAGAAGCTGGTTGCACCAATAGCACCGGTGCGATCACCGACATGTGCGACTGCATGTTTCCAGTATCAGCGCTTCCTGCCCACAGCGGGATGAATGACAACGCTAGATCAAAGAGTGTATATCATGTAGTGAACAGTGGACACCTACGTGATCTTCCCTTTCGCCGTCATTCCCCCGTCGTCCCATCCGCGGCCATTTCACTTGCGCTTATCTGAAAATCACAACATATTTACGGCAGGGTGAATGAAGATGAAAAAAGCGAAGCGTCCGTTTGTCCGTCAGTATGTCCTTCTGCCTGTGCGTCTGTACGGACGGACAGTTGAACAGAGGCCTAGGTGGACGGATGGACGGACGCATGGGCAGACGCCGGAACAGATGTGCGAACGCATTCGACAGACGCATGAACAGACGGACGGGCAGACAGACAAAAGCACGGTGAACAGACGGACGGAAGCAGGGACGGATGGACGCATGATCGAACGGAAGTATACACGGACATACATACGAACGTACTCAGGGACGTACGAACACAAGCACGAATGCACGCACCAACGGACGGACGGTTTCCTCCACTCATCATCATTTATTCCGTGGACATGCTTAAAAACCACTAACACCATCTTGTTATAACACCAAGGACATACACACGACACCCTTTACTGATCAAGTCACATTCTAGAGGTGACTACAAAGTGAAGAGGTAATGACCTAAGGAGCATCGTCTCTATAAAAAATTTTCTGATTGCTGTACAGTGGTCGAGAATAGTCAACCAGATTTCCCAGGGTGCAAAACGCCTCCTTCACCACAGGTAGTTTCCGCCGATGGGGCGAAAAAAAAAACCACTCCGTGTTTGGACCTGCCATGGCAGTTCGGGGCGACGGAGAGCACAGTGACAATGTTTCAGGCACACCTGCCTCCAGACAGAGGCTGGCTGGCGAGAACATATGCAGGTGAAGGCGGCACGTAGTGTTGCTATTCAGAGCACCTGCTGAATTTGCCAAATGAAGCCTATAAGTTTCTCGAATAACGAGAAAGAACGAACAAATAGGTATCGCCTGAAGCGAGGATAGCGTCGCCCAAAACTGCACGAGAAATCAAACATTCTCAGGGGTGGACACTAATGCCAATGCGCAAAAAAATCTCTTGCGTGGCCTGACTTTTTCTCAGACCACTATCGACGTGCTGTGCACGAGCGCTAAGCTCGCTTGAAATGTAGTATAGTGGTTTTTTTTCTGGTAAGAAGATTTCTTCAAACAGTTCAACGAGCTGGTCAGATGACAAAGATGGAGGCTTGAGATGCAACAATTGTGCGGCTTTACACATCAAGCTTCAAAACGCCGGGGAAAATCACGTAACGGGGAAAATTACCGGAAAAACCAACGACTTATGGTACGCCTAGGGCCGTGAACGTTGCAACATCAACTCTACAAGTTCGGATTTGGAGTCAACGTGAAAGCGGCGCAAGCCATTATCGCAAGCCAGCCGCCAATGTTGATCAAATCACTGCAATTGGCCTGTAATTTTACGAGGCTGTGTCAAAAAGTTTCCGCTGATCGCCTGTTATTACCGCTTTCTCGCCTCCCGGTTGTGGCTGATTGCTTGTAGATTCTGGTGACGCATCGAGGAGTGCATCTGCGTTGAGAAAACAAGCAGATGTAAAAAAAACATTGAAAGACCCCCACTTTTCACAATTAATGAACTATCGCAATAAATGCGTGAAGATCTCTCGACGCATCACAGCTCCAAAGCAAAACAAAACAAAAGTATGGCGAAAAACTCTCAATCTAACAAATCAGCTGAGTATCTGCGGGTTTCATTGCAGCTGTCGTCGAAAGACGATAGTATTCTGTATGAGCTGTCCATTCCAGGTCCCTGGAGCACAGCAGCTTCCGTACGTTTTTGTCATCACTGCAGTAGCGAGACGGCACGTTTGGTGTGTTCTGAAGGTCGCCGTTCTATGCATTGCGAGACACACGCGCCTCCACAGCGCGTTGCCTGTGCACACGCAGTTATCTGGTGGACGTTTGCAAGTTTTCTTTCAAGTTACAGCGCTTTCAGAGAGCATGAAGGTCACTTCGTTCGCTGCCACGCCCGTCTTCATGAAAAGAGCGCGGTGGAAGTAAACGACGAAGTAAGTATAGCTACAGTTCGCACTTGTCGTTTGAATAATAACTGTGCGTTCGTTTTATGCGCCTTTTTTGGCACTTGAGCAGCTTGTCGTTTTTCTCATGACATTACAAATACAATTATTTGCTGCTCCAGTCATTCTTTTCACCTTGTTGCAAAACCACGCGCCACCAACGGTCAACTTCCTCTGTGAAGGCACGTTGCACTTGCTTGCTATACCGAAACCTAGACAGAAAAATCAGTCAGTTCTTTAAATTTAAAATTTGCCCATTGACCACAGGATGGCTTGGTAACGAGCGCACACTTTGACATACTATGAATGTTTAGGAAGGTGGCTTCGTTCATGAATAGTATAAAAATATTGTTATTTTCGGCATGAGTATACATTCCTAAAATTTTTTCTTTCTATTGTAGCTTGTTTGTGCCCATCAAGTTTAGGCCTTGGTTGCATCGATCCGTGCAGATTTCACTATGACAGTGCAACTGGAATATGTGCACCAGGTGGACAGGTGCATAATTGCAACAGGTTTGCAACACTTCAACTATGCCAAGAATTGTGCCAAAATGCCCCCCGACGACGTGGTTGATGCCACCGATTCTTATTCAATTGAGTATGTATCACAATAAAGTAGCCTATATCAAAGGTGTGAGATTGGTAGTTACTGCTAACGCAAAAGCGTTGAAGAGTTTGTTTCACTTTATCTCTGTCGTTGGTTTAGGCGTGGGCGTCATTAGTTGTGACGAGGAATAATCTTTTTATGAACTGGAAATTGGTAATATTGGGAATAAAGTAAATAACATTCACTGGTGCATTTATGAAGTGATCATGTTACAGGAGCTTGCGCGTGAATGATCGGGTAACCAGCGAATCGTGCTTCACATTCCTGTATCATCATAGACGTGACGCATTTACTTGACGCAAGCCCTCTTCGCTTACGTGTCTCTTTCTCTCACCGCATGGTCTTGGCGGTGGGCCCGAACAGCTGCTGATTTGCGAGCCCGCCGAGCAGCTGCCTTAGCTTCTGCGGTGTTCACGCCGCTTAGTGGTAACGAAGAGTGTTCATTCTGTGTGCTCCAGACGAACAAAAAGAAACGCGCCGAACACCGAGTGTGCCGAGTGTGCCGGTGGCGATGTGCGGTCGCCGGCTGAGCGGTGGCGTGCAGCTAGCGTGCGCCAACGGAGAGAGCGCAGCTGCGAGAGGGCCCAGCCGCAGATCTATTTGAAGCAATGAGAACTAGTGTATTTGGAACCAGTGCTGGATTTTCCGCTGTCATGGAGTGCCACCATATTGAGCTTAGCCGGAAAAATTCGGGTGGACGAACACTCAAGTGAGCTGTGTCACTGTGGGTGATGCTCGTACGAAGAAAAAGAACCTTCGAGACCAGCTTCTTCTTCCATTCACGAATGCCACAACCGCAAAAGTTTTTTTACAAAAGGAAAAACAATTCAGAACATGCGTAGTCGATTCCTTTCGGCATCGGTTTTCATCAATGTACAGGGGTTGATGCTCCGGAAAATATCCCGTATTTTTATCAAAGGTTGCCTTAAAAATTTTCAAGAGAGCCCAACAAAACTAAGGTTGCGTAAGCATCGCGCCGTATATTACAGGCACTGTATTTATTCGCTTGTAAGACGACAGCAATTATAAAGGGATGAGTGACATTTCATCACGTCTAGGAAGAAAAAAAAACATAATTTTGGTTTTCGGTATGCGAAGGTCGACTTTAGTAGCGAAAAGCTGAAAGAAAAAAACAAACCACGTGTAATATTCGAGTAAATATTGTATCAGACTGTCACTTGCACAGTTCCAGAGCATTTACAACACAGTGGTTGTTGCAAAAACCGTAACAATCCACGCATGTTGCATTAATGACGAGACAGCATGTCAACCACAGAAATACCACAACGTCAATCAACACCAGGTCATTCAAAGGCATTCTTCTTTTTTAGATATGAGGCTTTGACAACGACCAACCGTAAGCATGAGAACTGGCTGCAGACGACAACGAGTCGACTTCGTTAAAACACGACCGCTGCGAAATGTTTGTATTTCCCCTAACACCACTAATGATCTCTTTGCACTGGCCTTTCATGTGGAAGTTGCCTAAGACTTTGATCTCAGAATTCACCGTCACCTTCAAAAATTAAAGACTGCGATACGAGAATTGTATGGGTTCACGCTAGCCGTTGAACACAAAAAACTCGTAGTGAAACATTTTTTGTAATATATAGGAACACCCACTTCCTTATACGTAACTGTGATGTTCTCGCTCAAAATATCTGTCACTGGGCCGAATGCTATTTCAGTGCTCCGTGATAAACTACTAATATTACTTCAAAGCAGGCGCAAAGCAAGCAACCTTACACACAGTGTACGTCGAGCATCGCATGCGCTATTTGAGCGGACTGCTTTGTAAGTTTACATGGCGCAATGATTGGCACTACTACATCGAAAGGTCACACTGCTTTTTCTATGTCATTTACGTACCTATTATCGGACACCGTTTGTCCTTTCGACAACACAGTCTTGCGAAAGTATCATCGCAATGTCACCGCAATGTGCTAGTTGTGCTGTGTTGTCGCCCTGTGTATTGTGCGTGTCTCCCTCGCCGTGCGAAGGACAGGGTGTGCCAATTCCTTCTTCTCTAGGTTCGGAAGAAGGCGGTGTTCGACTGTTCCATTCTGCGGGTGGAGATTAAGGCAACAATCTCAATGGACAGTCCTGGCTTCAGTTGTGTTTTCCTGAAGAGAATCTTAGGAAGACCAGGGCATGAAATGCGACCACCGAGACGCCCTAGGCTGCTTTATTTATTCATTCAGTTTCACGATTTCTTAAACATGCATATACTGTAAATAAATTGTTCCTATTATTAGCACTGCTTCCTAGATTTGTCTTGGCCCGAAGACGTGGGTGGCGATGGTCTCGATCAAATTCCTCCAGTCGACACAATGGTGAAAATGAGTACGCTTGATGCTGGTGCTCGTGCTTCCTCAACACTGACCACTGATCATTTCGCCTAGCAAGTTCTTCAGTAAACACACCAAATGCTCAAAAGCTAAACGCTTGCTATCATTTTAAAGTCGATTCGTCTTTGTACTAGTCTAACGCTAACTAAAATTCACATCAGCCATTACTCTGTATCAATACACAACCTGCGAAAACCGGCGATGTAAGTATGCGCTTATTTAATCAAGATTTATGCTCTTTTCATCAACGACGGTATGAACGTGTGAAGCTTTGGCGTGTGCTAGGCGGGGGCCAGTATATTTAGTAACGGATCAAAATACATTTTAGGAGAGCACTGCATGTGTTAGCGTGCATGCCTAGCGTGGCGGCACAATAAATTTTCTTTTTAAGCATTATGACCTTCCGATCCATCGCCTGCAATCCTTTCATGCATGGTACTCACTCCACATAATTTACACAACACCAAAGAAGATTTAGAGAACACTGTATTTTTTCACCTAAGCACATAATTGGAGCCCCTGATTCTATGAACGTCAGTAAGATACCTGGCTCTTTTATGGTTCGCAAGCAAATATGCATGCTACATGCGATCCATGTGAGTTGCAGTTGTCTCTATATTCACCTTGTAGACATCTTCTCTATTGATGGTTGAACTTCCAACGGTTAATCAAGCGGCATCCAAATGGTAATTGTGGGTTGCAGTCACACACTACCAAGTAAACTAAATGTAAGAAAGAGAGAAAATCGTGTTAATAAAAATATTGTGAGTGTACAGGCACCTTTTATTAAGGCTACCGGTAACAATGGTCGGTAATGAAAATCAAACGCTGAAAAAAAAGAGTACTGTCATTATGTGGTGTAGACGTTCCAATGAGGCATGAATTTCTAAAAGCTAAAAGGATAATACTGTCTACCGAGGTTTTCGTTAAGCCAAACTTTTGATACGTGTACACAACTGTGTACATAATCGGTATTTTCTAATTTTGCCTACCATTGGGCGAACGAAAAAAAGATACATTGATATTGGGCTTTAATCATTTATTGAAATAGATTTAATTTAATAAAAGGAATCTACAGTGGAATGAATCGGTCCTCATATAGAATAATCTCGGAGTGTACTGCTTCATAAAGGTACATTACAGAAGACCAATTCATAATTCTATCGTCATCAGACGTGGCATTTTTCTCGAGCCACTTGAAGAGAATCTTTTTTACTTGCTTGAAGTTATCATCATGCAGGTCGCGGGTTCAAATCCCGGCAGCGGCGGCCGCATTTCCGATGGAGGCGGAAATGTTGTAGGCCCGTGTGCTCAGATTTGGGTGCACGTTAAAGAACCCCAGGTGGTCAAAATTTCCGGAGCCCTCCACTACGGCGTCTCTCATAATCATATGGTGGTTTTGGGACGTTAAACCCCACAAATCTATCTATCCATTTATGAAGTTATCATCATCATCATCATCATCATCATCAGCAGCAGCAGCAGCAGCAGCAGCAGTCGAACTACGTCCACTGCCGGACAATGGTCTCTCCCATGTTCCGCCAGTTAACTCAATCCTGTGCTTGCTGCTGCCAATTTATACCCGCAAACTTCTTATTCTCATCGGCCCACCTAACCTTCTGTCTCCCTCTAACCCGCTTGCCTTCTCTAGGAATACAGTTAGTTACCCTTAATGACCAGCGGCTATCCTGTCTACGCGCTACATGCCCGGCTCATGTCCATTTCCTCTCTTTAATTTCAACTATGGTGTCCTTAACCCCCTTTCGTTCCCTAACCCAATCTGCTCTCCTCTTGCATTTTAAGGTTACACCTACCATTTTTCTTTGCATTGCTCGCTGCACCGTCCTCAGTTTAAGCTGAAGCATCTTTGTAAGTCTCCAGGTTTCTGCTCCGTAGGTAAGTACCGCCAAGGTACAGCTGTTATATACCTTCCTCTTGAGGGATAGTGGCAATCTAACTGTCATTATTTGAGAGTGCTTGCCAAATGTGCTCAATCAACCCTATACTTATTTTATAGTTACTTCAATCTCGTGGTTCGGCTCAACAATTACCTGGTAGCAATTACCTTTGTAAACAGCTTTTATACTACGGAGAGCAAGCTGATCGGCCTGCAATTCTTCAAGTCCTTGTCATCTCCTTTCTTATGTACTAAGATTATGTTGGCATTCTTCCAAGACTCTGGTGCTCTTCCCGTCAGGCGACACCTCGTAAACAGCGTGGCTAGTTTTTCTAACACAATCTGTCCTCCATCTTTCAGCAGATCTGATGTTACCTGGTCCTCACCAGCTGCTATACCTCTTTGCAAGCTCTCCAAGGCTTTTCTGACTTGTTCCATCATTACTGGTGGGGTATCGTCTGGGTTACTGCTAGTTCTTATAGCATTAAGGTCGTGGTTGTCCCGGCTACTATACAGATCTCTGTAAAACTTTTCTGCTAATATAACTATCCTATCCATATTGGTAGCTATTTTGCCTTCTTTGTTCCTTAGTGCATGCATCCAATTTTTGCCTACCCCAAGTTTCCTCATCACTGCTTCGACGCTTCCTCCGTTTTTTCAAAGCGTGTTCAATTCTCTCCATGTTATACCTTCTTACATCGGATACTTTACACTTATTAATCAACTTCAAAAGCTCTGCCAGTTCTATTTTGCCTGTTACACTTGAGACATTCATGCT